TAATTTGTTGGAGAATAAAAATAAATAAAATATTTACTTTAAGGGTAGAAATGTCAATTTAATATATCGGGAGGGGGGGGGGGAGGGGGGGGAATCGCCACTTTTAGAATAATTGAGGGGGCTAATGTGCTTACCTAAATAATTAAGGGGAAAAATGGCTATAAGTATATAACTTAGGGGGGAAAAGTGCCATTTTCCCTTTAACTTTTTGTTTAATTTGGGCTCATTTAGTTCCATTGCTTTGTTAATATTGTCACAAATTAACTTTGTTTTTTTTTTTTTTTTCTGAAATATATTTACTATTTTACCATTTTAACTGTCTCTTCTTGTTGAAAAATGCTTATAGATGTATAGCAAACAATACTTTGATAAACTTGTATAATAAACTATTTTTTTAATATTATATTCTTTATTATGATATTTATGAGCTTTTCTTGGGTTAGTAAGGACTATAATAATCACTCAACTTACGTATTCATCTCTACAATCTATATGTCATGTACAATTGCCAGCACATATGCTCGTTACTTGGGGCAATCACTAAGCGTCGAGTGAGACTATCTAATTATATAAATAATCACCTTTAACTTTAATGAGGATATTCAAACTTTTTCACTCTTACGTATTTAAAATACTCTTGACTACTAAACTGGATTGAGGTATTCAACTATAATTGTATTCAATAAATTCAATTGATTATTACTATCAAGAAAGTTATTATATTATCTTTCTATTGTATTGTTTCATTTTTATATATCCTATATTTAATCATTTAATCCTAAAAAAAAGTAAAACTTCTAAGGGGATGTTTGGTTCATGGAACTTTAAAATGGAAGAAAATGTTGTTTTCTTGTGTTTGGTTTATGGAATTCATTTTTCATTGGAAAATGAATTCCTCAAATTTGAGGAAAACAAAATCCTTGGTTGGACCAAGGATTTTGTTTTCCATGGAAGATGGGAAGAAAAAGTGAGATGAAATGCCTATTTTACCCTTGTTTAATTTTTTAATTACATTACTTTTATTAATTTGTAGTGACATATAGGTCTTTATACTCGCTATTCCTTACAATTCCAAATCTAACCAAACAATAGAATTAGTATTCCTAGTAATTCTTTTTCCACCAACCGAACAATGAAATTCATCTTCCTAGTAATTGTTTTTCCATGAAATTTCAATTCCACTTCCCTTAAAATATTTTTCGCGAACCAAACCCCTAAGTTTTATATGGTTGTATTAGACCATCTCACACCTATTTATTGAGTAGTAACTCAAAGTTATAAAGTTAAGCTCAATGAGATTAATAATATGAATCCCAATACTCAAACACACAATCAACAAGCACACAACAACAAAATGAAGAGTCATGTCTATTAATCAGTTAGAGTCTAATTAGTACATTGTTTGATAGAGTGGTTCATGTCAAAGACAATTATTCAGTTGTACAAAAAGTACAAATAAATGATGTGTCACCAACAAGGACTACACTAATCACTCAATTTACTTGTCTCTACAATCTACACTTCATGTACAATTGCTAACACATATGCTTGTTACTCGGGACACCCACTAGACACCAAGTAGGGCTACCTAATTGTATGAATAGCCATCTTAAACTTTACCGAGGGTTTTAAGCTCTCTCACTCTTACGTATTCAAAATACTCATGATCATTCAACGTATTCAAACACCTAAGAAGTAAAAATCTCACTTAAAATTACTAAGTTCTAAATGGTTGTATTGAATTATTAATCTCAAACACCAATATTTTTATTAGTTATTTATAAATTAATTGACAAAATTATGAGTTGATTATTTGAAATTATATCACATAATATAAAAAAATTAGGGAGAAAAAAACTTTTCATACAAGCAACATCGCAATAATTTGAACAACCTAAAAATACTTTATGCTGATTACTGATTAGAGACAACGATTTGTTGACACCATGATTTGCTAACAAACATAATTATTAACAACTCTCCTAGCATTGCAATTCACATGTTTTTTTTTTCTCCTTATTATTACCAATTGTTATTGGTAAAAAAAATGACAATAAAAATAAATTATTTAATTTGGTAAATATTATAGTAATAAACATATAAATACTAAACACAAATCTACCAAATAGTTATATTCGAGTGATAATATTATGGATGGCAATTTCAATTTACCCGCATGGATCAAATTTTTTTGGGTGATGGTGGGTGGTGGGTCGGGGTAGGTCTTAAAAAAGCAAACGCATTGTGTCGGGTTGGATTCGGGTTCTATGTACAAAAATCGCCTAAAACCCTACCCCACGCACTATGTGTGCGTGTATATATAATAGTAAAATAAGTACTAGTATGTAGTTATTTATAAAAGTTTATATAACTTCGTATATCTTTTAACTATTTTGTTATCTAAACTACTAAGTTTATTTTTAAAAATTTACAATTTAAATATTTTTATTATTTTATGTTTTAGTATCACTAATGAATTTTATTATTTTATTATGTGTAAGTAATTTAAATATTATTTTTTTTAAAAAAAATAAGATGATAAGTGGTGGGTACCCGTAGTGGGCACCCGCACCCAGTGGGGTGGGGGTGAGTTTTGAAAAAATTCACTAGTTGAAGATGGAGGTAGGTGGAGGAAATATAAGGTGGATTCGGTGATGGATGTAGCATTCCCCGATCCACACCCGACCAATTGCAATCCCTAAGTGATATTAATATGACTTATAATATTACATAACCGATCACAACATTAATTCACCAAATCAATCATTCAAAGTATGCAAATAAAATGTGGTTTAAGAATATTAACAGAATTTAAATAATTTTGGCATGTTATTATTATTATTATTATTATTATTATTATTATTGTTGTTGTTGTTGTTGTTGTTGTTGTTGTTGTTGTTGTTGTTGTTGTTGTTGTTGTTGTTGTTGCTATTGAGTGACAAGGGAAACATGTAGCTAATATTCATTGGAGTGTACAAAGTAAACCTTATTTATGTATAATAGTCAATAAATCACACTAAAAATATCATATACAACGGACTCAATCAATAAGATGTTAACAAGAATCAAACTCATTACATAGAATCTAAATTTACAGATCCAATAAAAACATTAATTTACTTAATCAATCAATCAAAATATGTAATAAAATGTGATTTAAGGTTTTTTTTTTTTTTAATAAATAACTTTGGCGTGTTATTGACTTCTTATATAGTTGTGTTGTAATGATGTGGGGTCTACATTTACATCCTGTAAAGGTGACGCAAGATCCAAGCCATATTTCAATGGAATGCGATAAGATTTTGAAGTCATATTTAACACTATATTCATGAAGGAAGTGCGTCATATTTATTAAATTTTATAATATTATATTTATTACTTGTATTTTTATTATACCATATTACCTGTTAATTAAAGTTATAAATGTATAATATGCTTATATGCTGCATAATAAATTAGTTGAGAATAATGGATTTTTTTTTTTTTAAAATCAAGAATATTCGAAGGTCTAGATTAGATCTTTTATATGCATATGAAGACTAAGATTTGACTAGTGAATTGATTGCGTGACTAGCAATTTACCTCTGCGGTTACGATAGGGGCGAGGTCATGTGAGCTTAGAATTAATCCGATGAAACTAGTATCACCTAAATTTTTTAAAAAATAAAAAATATGGTATTGAATTAAAATAAAGTTCAAGGGAGAATAATATTTACTCCGTAATTTGGAATAAATATATAATATTGTTATTATATTATAATAAAATACAATAATCTGTAGTACAAGGGAATATGGACTTAATTACCTCAAATCTTTTAAACTTTAAAAAAAAAAATAACAAAAGGATTCACGTGAAGAAATGGCTCAATTCACAACAAATATATATTATCAAAAATATAATATTTCTGATTCTTTAATTATGTGATAGACCTTGTGGTTTAATCGCACCAAAGTTACACTTCCACACTTTCATATGGGAGGTTGTGAATTTGAATCTCAGTTCTTTGTGTTTAAGTAGGTTATGAACATATACTACATTGATTCTTTGTGTTTCAGTAGATGCATTGACTTTTTGTGTTTCAGTAGGTTATGATCAGATACTATATTGATTCCTCTTTGTGTTTTAGTAGGTTATGAACAGATACTACATTGATTCTTTGTGCTTCAGTCAGATACTATTACATTAATTTTTTGTGTTTTGTGTTTCAGTAGGTTATGAACAGATACTACATTAATTCTTTGTGCTTCAGTCAGATACTACTATATTGATTCTTTGTGTTTCAGTAGGTTATGAATAGATATTACATTGTAATAAAGTAAATAACATTCAAAAACAATTATGTGATACAGTGTACTCAATCTTTCAGTTGGTGATACATCAACTTTTGGTTTTCAAATCAACACTAAAATGGTAATTTTAGTTCACAGATATCAAAGAAATTTAGCGGTGCGGATGACATTCTAACTTAAAAACAATGTTTCATTATTATTATTCAAACAGTGTTTGCGCAGCATTTTAGTTGCTTTTGCTTCACTTTGTCTCTTTTTTTTTTCTTCACTTTTAATAATATATTTAAATATTATTATTAAATTATATTTTGAAAGAGGATTAAAAATGTAAGAGTGTAGAGAAAATATTGATGAAATACATATATGATAATATAAGTATGATAGTGATGTCTATTTTTAGAGTAAAAAAGTATTGCAGCGATGCAGATAGCCTTACTAAAGTGAGTTATGAGATAATCTTTAATTTTTTGAGAAATAAAAATGAAAAAAAATAGATAATAGATAATATTAGATTGGATCCACTAAATCGTTACGATTAATTATCAAAAAGTATAATTTTTCTAGAATAAATATCAATAAATAAATAGTAATTGATTAATCAACGTTATTTCCATATTTACTTGCAGATGACTAGTCTTCTGTCCCTTTGGTCTTACACCTCCTATATAAACCCCCTCAAAACTCTCTGTTTTCCTCTCCTTCTTCACCTCTCTCTATCTCTCTCTACATCTATATATATATATATATATACGTGCTCCGTATATTTATATATATACACATTTCTGTACGTATATAATCTTTGTATATCGTCGTCATGGCTGTGAACGGTGGAACTTGTTCAAATTTGATCGTCAGCTTCGGGGAGATGCTGATCGACTTCGTGCCGACAGTTTCCGGCGTGTCTCTGGCGGAGGCGCCCGGTTTCCTGAAGGCTCCGGGCGGTGCTCCGGCCAACGTGGCTATAGCGGTTACGAGGCTGGGCGGGAAGGCCGCGTTCGTCGGGAAACTCGGCGACGACGAGTTCGGGCACATGCTGGCCGGAATCCTGAAGGAGAATGGGGTACGCGCCGACGGGATCAACTTCGACAAGGGCGCCAGGACGGCCCTGGCCTTCGTGACGCTACGCGCCGACGGGGAGCGCGAGTTCATGTTCTACAGGAACCCCAGCGCCGATATGCTGTTGACCCCGGACGAGTTGAATCTGGAGCTCATTAGATCTGTAAGTGACGTCCCCGTCAATCTTGTTTCCGATTTTTCTAAATCTCGTTTGGTTGCATAGAAAGCGCGTGACAATTTGAAATCTTTACATTTAATTTTTCGTTTTCTTTTATGCTGCTTTGTCAACGAGAATGGCGTGGAGTGTAATGATTCACGCCATTCTTACAGTTCACTTAAGAACGATTTTGGGGTTATAAGGTTCAATTTAGTCAAAAAGAATTCTTTAATGCCAGTGTTCATGACTACTATTAAGATCTGGGACGATACGTCCTGTTCCGGCGGCGGCGCGTGCGCCGCCATGCCCTTTTTAGATTCAGTGATTCAAGCCACTGTTGCAGTAGGCCCGCTGGCAAGATTGAATATCTTTTGTCTGGATTTACGGGTCGGTATCTTGGAATCTGGTAGCATATAGGCTAGGAAAATAATTTTCCATTTAAAATTTGGAAACTTTTTCTTTTTGCTTTTCATGTTTGGTCCATTTAGCATGCAATGTTGAGATCATTCCAAATATTGATTTTATTGAAAGGGATTTGAGAATGAGTTTGAATGCAAAGATTTGAGTGCTCGAATTGTTAAAGAAAACCCCAGTTTCATAAAATGCTGCATTTCTTGATTTCTTAGGTTATATCAAAATGATGAATTCATTTGTCAAAAATGGGCCTATTGCAGATCTCAACAAATTTTTTTGTTCATTTAATGAATCGGGTGTTGCATGGGGTCCATATTTGGTGAAAAATCATTTTATTTGTAACCCCTGGACCACCTAATTCTTAAGATGCACATGGTTCACATTTTACCATGTAGAAGAAACTCAGCTCATTTTCACTGTCAAAGTGATCAAATCTGCAGATTTGATCTCAGATCTCTGTGATTTATTGATCTTGGGATGCCAAGCAAGCCAGAAACAGATTACTAGTATTATATTGCATTCTTGAATTTTGATGTTTGGATCAATGGGGACTTCATTTAGTCTCTGTTCTTGAATACTTTTGATGATTGGCAGTGAAGTGATAATAACGAGTTGGTAATTTTGTCTAGGCCAAGGTTTTCCACTACGGATCAATAAGCTTGATTGTGGAGCCATGCAGATCAGCTCATATGAAGGCAATGGAAGCTGCAAAAGACGCCGGAGCTTTGCTTTCCTATGACCCCAACCTCAGGCTGCCATTGTGGCCATCCCCCGAGGAGGCACGTGAGCAGATCATGAGCATATGGGATAAGGCAGATGTGATCAAGGTCAGTGACGTTGAGCTGGAATTCCTTACTGGCTGTGACAAGATTGATGATGAGTCCGCTTTGTCCCTGTGGCACCCCAACCTGAAACTCCTCCTCGTGACCCTTGGTGAGAAGGGTTGCAGATATTACACCAAGGTATGTCTTCAATAATTGTGAATATATTCTGAACACAATAGCTGTAAAGTAGTAGTTATTGGTAATTAAAAGAAAGGAACAACCCGGCCACACCAGGAATTGTATGTGAAACTAAAGTCGTACCTTTTGGGCTATAAGGTTAGCCTGCATCACTTTTACATCATTTGCCCCACTATGCATTGTCTCTTTGTGTATTATTTTAATCCATTCAACCTTTCAGTTTTTAAAAGGTTAACATAAATTATGCTAAATTATATGTTAAAATAGATCTCTGAATCACATTTTATTCAATATACTCTATATCATTTGATCTGCCTCAATGTTCAACGTTTCCTTGTTTTGGTGCGTAGAGCTTCAAGGGATCTGTTGAAGCTTTTCACGTCAAGACAGTTGACACAACGGGAGCTGGTGATTCCTTTGTCGGTGCCCTTTTGTGCAAGATTGTTGATGACTGCTCCATAATTGAGGTAAGTAGTTGTTGATCAATTGCCATCAAGTAGGTTGTAGGTTGCTTTTGTGGCAAGATTTCAACAGACCAGCACTTGTTGGTTATATCAAAGCTCAACAACAGTTGGGGAATAACCAAAGTGTGAATGGGATTGATTGCAGGATGAGGCGAGATTGAAGGAAGTACTTCGATTTGCATGTGCTTGTGGAGCCATCACAACTACCAAAAAAGGAGCAATCCCTGCCCTTCCTTGCGAAGCAGATGCCCTCGCTCTTCTCAACTGAACTTAAGCATCATGCCTTTCCATTGATTTTCTTACCAGCACTAGTTATATTAGGTTCTGTTCATCTTTTCCAAAGTTTGGGATTTTGTTTTCATTTGCTTGTAATGGAGGGATTGCCCAAAGCAATTATTAATAAACGAGTTTTGTGGTTTGTAAATTGCTTGTGTGATGTTTACTTTGAATTTAGGCCAAAAATTTGACTATATATTAGGAAGTTGTTGAGGGTGAACAACAAGATTTTACTTTGGACATGTGTAACAAAAACTGTCAAAATTATCTTTCAAGACTATTAGGAAATAGAAAATGAAACTTATCAAAGTGTGATCAAATAGTAAGAGCTTGTTTGGTTCGCAGAAAATATTTTAAGGGAAGTGGAATTGAAATTCCATGGAAAAACAATTACTAGGAATATGAATTTCATTGTTTGGTTGGTAGAAAAAGAATTACTAGAAATACTAATTCTAAGGGGAAGTCTTAGGGGATGTTTGGTTAGATTTGGAATTGTAATGAATAACGAATATAAGGACTTATATGCTCCTACAAATTAATAAGAATAATATAATTAAAAAAGAAAACAAGGGTAAAATTGGTAATTCATATCACTTTTTCTTCCCATTTTCCATGAAAAATAAAATCCTTGGTCCGACCAAGGATTTTGTTTTCCTCAAATTTGAGAAATTCGTTTTCCAATAGAAAATGAATTCCATGAACCAAACACCGAAAAACAACATTTTCCTCCACTCCAAGAAAAACAATATTTTCTTTCCATGAACCAAACATCCCCTAAGACTCTATTAGGAAATAGAAAATGATACTTAAGTTTAAATCCCAAACTTGATGGTCTTTCAACCTAATAGAAAATGATACTTAAGTTTAGATATCCCAAACTTGATGGTCTTTCACCACTTTGGCTTTCGCTCTAGAGATTAGTGAAGGTAAAGTGTAAGATATATCTCAACTATCTTACATGCTTCTAAATGTTTGTACACGTGTGAGACTAAATCCAAGGTCCTTGAGATTTGAACCCAATAGAAAATGATACTTGCATTTAGGTGAAGGGTGGAATGAGAATATTTTGGAAATTGCAATTCTTTGCTCAAAGAATAGAAAATATTTCTTTTTGGACACATATATACCCATCAACCTTATGTACTAATCCTTTCATATATAATAGCAAAAATTAGGCAATTTAGGATCTGAAACATGTGAGTGGACAACAGCTTAATACTTTTCTAATTCCATAGGGCAGAGATGCCATGACTACTAGGGTAGAATCCCAAACTCATTACCCTTCTATATATTAGGTCAGTGAGAAATTCTGATCAGTGCCCATGCAAGAAAAGAAACATTTACCTGCATTTCACATGTCTAAATTTTGTTGCTAGTAGTCACATTTAGGAGCTACTTACAAATTGATACTAAAACGCAATCGCTTGTGGATAGCAACCAACAACCTCCATCCTCAGGGAAGACCAAACTTGGTCGCATTTCTTTAGCCCTGCTTGCATGTGTGCCAAAAACGCCTGTGCCCATGGTTCATCGCTCCCCTCCAAGCTCAATTCATAAGGAACGGAGAAACTGTTGATAATTGGAGAATCAACACAAACTGTTCTAAGTTGATATAGTAACCCACTCAACCCAGTTTTACATGAAATATAGCTATTCAAAACTGAAGAGCTGGTAAACATATTTTTGGGGTTTGATAAGTATTGTGTGTACAAATATATGCACGTAAAATATTTCTCTAAAACATAAAGAAGCAACTATAAGCACAAGTACTGACAAACGGCAGCAGACATGGCCTCAAAAATCAACTTAGAAATAGATTGCTTGTGTAACTACAAGTACCAATTGCATATATAAAATAAACATGAAAAACCATGTTTCTTGGCTTGTGTGGCTCAAGGTATTAATGTTTTAGCAGACTTATTATGTTTGTTTAAAATTTTATTAAGAAAGAATAGATTACGTACAAACAAAAAGTAGATGAGTTGGGAAGTGTTACGAGTTCAGACTTCAATCATTGAGTCTAAAAGTTTGTTAATCATTAATTAACTAACAAGCTAAAACAACAGTCAAACCTTACAAGTTGTATTTGTTGCTTGCTAGCCAGATATCAAACAGAACCCCTATATGGCTATATAAATATCTAAATGACCAAGAATCTGAAGTTCTGTTACTCTGTCAGCAGAAATGTTCTGATGAGGGTTCAAAACATCAAGAAAGAGAAGACAAACACACACAGAAAAACAGTAAGTGTGTGATGGTATACAAGAAGTCTTGAACTAAATTAAAGAAGCCAGCACAGTACAAACATCAGAGGAAGGAAGAAACTGGAAAATCATCCTAATAGATTTAATTTGTTGTGCACAGTTTGAAATAAACTCAAAAAACATATTACTGTTACCTCAACAGTTCTTCTTTTTGAGATTGAGATCGATCATTGTGTGCACCATTTCTGGAAAATTATAAGGCTGGCAGTCAGCAAACTAAGCCTCAGGGATGATAAGTCATTGCTTTAAGCCTTTAACAACTGAATGAAGTCCAAATAAAGCTGACACCAGATATCTTAGGAAATGAGCTAAGAAGCTAACGATTATGAGCTAGACTCTGCCAGTGAAGATTAACCAAACTCCCTCACCCCCTCCAGGGGGCATGGTAGTGTCTTTAGGAGAAAAATATTTTTATGAAAATGGGTAAATGGCACCCCAATAAGTTAGCTATTATTTGATATTTTCCACATCTCAATGGAATTCATCATGCAGAAATAGGTATTCCCAATTGATTACTTATCTTGAGGGAGAAATTATCTTCTTATTTTCTATCTCTCCTGTGTGCCAATATTCAAAATTCACTTCTTATCTCAAGGGAGAAAGTTTCTTTAATATTTTCCATTTCTCCTATGTGCCTCTTTACAAGCAGTTCTAGATAAAAAGGTATATTGAAAAATTAAAACCAAATTGTTGATTTAAAATGCTGGAAATCATCTTTAAAATTTTATTAAAACCTGAACTAACCTGCAGACTAGAATTTGGAAGAGATGGAGTGACTTGGTGGAGAGATTATATATGGCATCTTCAATGTGATCCTTGCCAAAAAGGTATACTACTGGATAGCCAAGAAGCCATCTGCAAAAAAAAAAAAAACCTGGATTAATTAGGCAAACTGACTTGTCAAAAAGAACAAAGACAAAAGTCACCAACAAACAAAAAATGACCTATAGCCCTTAAAGCTATGGAGACAAAAGTCGCCAACAAACTATGTTACTGAGAGTTGGGTACTAAGTGTCTGGTCCGGTTATGTGACAAGGTCGCTGGATCAGTAAATTTCCAGGAATAATGTATGGAAAAGTCATTCTATTAAACTTGTAATCTTCAGTTTCAGCAGGTATAGGGAATTACACAGCATAAAGTGTCAAAATTTGGTACCTGCCAATTTATATAATTTGTTAACTAAAAGGAAAACATACAATAAGAAGTTCTGAGAAGGTTCCAAGAAATATATGAGATTTTAATTATTTCTATACATATTATAAAAATAGAATTATCTCATAAAATAATTAAAACCATAGTCCAGGACTTGGATTCTAGATAGGGTGAGACCTCACATAGGATTTATTATAAAGTCCATTTTTTCCTGGATATATAATAGGGGTTATGCATCTACTACTAACAGAAATCCACTATAAACAGCAATTGCATGAGAGAGAGAGAGAGAGAGAGAGAGAGAGAGAGAAGTTACCCATTGAGAGTTGGTATTGTGACCTCAGTTTCTTTAATGCAGTTACTGAGATCAATAAAATCGGAGGACTGTGAACTAGTTGGCTTATTATTTGCTGTAAAATCAGTACTACAATGTCCTAAATGATTACTATTTATTTTTCCTTCAGAAAAGTGCGATGAAAATAGTTTCTGTGCCAGCACAAGCTCCACAATTGCAGGGCTCTCCTCAGCTCTTGTTATCATCTGAAGTAACAATTCAAAAGCTTTAATTATGTACAGTACAAACACTCAATCCCTCCCTTGCCCGGTTGCCCCCCAAAATAAACATATAAACAAAATAAATAAAGAGAAGAGACAAAAGACAACCTTAGGAGGATCATGTTCAAGATCTATAAAGAGAAATTCTCTTTCCAAGTTCAAACTCGATTTAACAAATTCCTCAAATGCTCTAAGATGAATCAGATATATCATATCTTCAATAACCATAACCTGAAGGAATTCAAATGCTGAAGACTCCTGAAAATCATAGACATATATCAGTGCCATCTTGGTGAGAAGACAACAACATTAGAAAGATTAGATAGATACTGCTATATTGAAAGGATGGAGAGGGCAGCCAAAAACAATATCTATCAGAATAATGTTAGTGTTGAAAATCAATGTCAACAGTGTCAAACAAATTTGGGTATCAGGTTACATTCAACAGATGAATAAAGTTTTCTTAAAGTGTTCATACTTTTCAAAGATATTTAAAGGATCATTTTGCAGCTCTAATTGCAGTGGCCACTTGCAAGGGAATTCATAAGGAATTACAAACAATGTGGCAGCATGGGATCCAAAGCTTTGTTCTAGACTTCTAGATATAGATTGCAGGGAATCATTGCTGGAAATTTCTGTATTACTATGAGAAATTGTTTGAGGTGGTAGGTAAGAGTAGAGCCTACTTTAACATCATTCAAGAAGTCCTCCATCGCAACAACATAGTTAATATAGGTCATGAATTTCTTGGTAATGGAGTCTACAAAGTCTATACCAGCTCTTGTTATCTTTTGATCACCTCCGACACTTAACAATGTTAAGGTTTTATTGATTTAGATGTAATGAAAACTCCATCTTTGAAATGTTTCTCTAACTCTTCAAGTGCTTTTGCCTCCTTTTAAGCTTTCTTGTAATCATTTCTAAAGACAGGAGGTAAGGGCCATATACTCACCTCCATTGTGAATTTTAAGGTGATTAATACATATTCGGGTCCTCAAGGCATTTTCTATATATGGTCAATACTTGTGCATATGCAAGAGCAAAACAGTTTATAAAAATGCATTAAAAGCTACTCCATAATAGTTTACTAGGATGATGTTGTTCATTTCCTTCAAGTTAGCTCAAGCTTTATCATACTAGGAGGGAACACCGAGTTCTAACGAGAAGATACCTACATTTCTGCAGTGTTTGAGAAATGCACAGAGGCGTTCTTGCAGTTCTGGCATCTTTCCGCCATAGTCCACCATTACAACTGGTCGCATCTCAGTGCACAAGGCCAAAATGTCTGCCAATATTTTTGAATTCATCAATGTTTAGCTCACAGAAAAATCAAAGTTCCCACCATGGATGGATAAAGTATTCTCTCCAGACTATACAGTCTATACGAACGTAATAATAATCATTCCTTTTTTTCCGAATTATCAAGAACGCTGGAATGCTCAAAAGTTTCATTAGCAGAATTAAAATAATGAAACGCAGATATACATGAGATTCGATTATAAGCACTAGTTAGTTACTACTTGCACAGTATAAATCAAAGCAGAGAGAGCAATAAAGAAAGAACCAGTTTCAAGGCGACGCTTAGAAGAAAGCTTGAGGCGCCATTTGATTTGGGACAAAGAAGATTCCAACACCCTCACTATTTCCTCTGCCTCCGCCATTTCAATTTTCCAATTTCCAGTCCAGAAATCAGAAACTGAGAAAAAAGGGACTTCCTAAATTTTCTGTCCAACTTCCTTAAATTACACTTCAAACCTCAAACGTTCTAATAATTTTACTTTACCCTCATACTTTTTATAATTACACATATGACCCTAAACTTCTTTATATTTCAATTGTACTTTATTCACAATGTACTCCCTCGAGTACTCATTGACTCATTGTTGTGTCCTCTCATGCCTCCTCCAAGTCATGGAACATAGAGACAAAAGAGAATGTTAATCCAACATTATTGTATTTATAAAGGTAGACACAAGAATGGCCTAGGACTCCTAGGACAGCAGTTATATCATGGATCCGAATCCACCTTATAAGATAAACTCGGGTCTAAAATATATATTTTACATACTGAATGTTCATAAATTGAATTGTGAACATTCAGTATGTAAATTGTAAACATTTAGTATATAAAATTGTAAACATTCAGTATATAAATTGTGTATTTTTAAACTCGGATTAATAGAATAATTTGCCCTCCTAAGAGCATGGTTGCAGTAGACGCTAGGCGCTAGTTGGGCGGTAGAGTAGCGCCTAGCATCTAGACGGTCTAGGCGGGCGCCTATGCGGCTAACTAAAAAAAAGAAAACAATGCACGTGTGTGGGTGTATATATGTCACACACACACACACACACACACACACACACACACACACACACACACACACACACACACACACACACACATATATATATATATATATATATATATATATATAAAATGAAAAAAAAAATATTAGAAAGGCCGAGCCAACTGGGTTAACTCGGCTAACTCGACTAAAATGGACGAGCTGAATTAACTTAGCTGAGTTAGGCGCTAGGCGGCTACTTAGGTGATCGAGTCGGCCAAATTAGGCGCTAGGCAGCCACCTAAACGACCGGTTGCCTAGGGAGAAAATCACCACAGTTTAGGAACGCCTAGCACCTAGGCGGATGCCTAGACCGATTTTTACAACAGTATTTAGGAGCCTAGGGCTTGATCCGGTCTCAACAAAATTTAATTAATTTTGACTTATTAAATAATACGGAGTACCAAACAAAACATAATAAATCAAATGAAATACATTACAAGTCTTGTGCATCAAATCCACTATTCATAATAAAGTTAATTTTCATGCCTCGATTGGGTAATTAATCAATCAAGAATTTTATATCTTAATATCCTCTCAGTCGAACTCGTCATATATGATCTTCATAGTGTGATTTACTTCTCTTATATGACTTGCTAATTACTATACAAGAAAAAAATTTACCACATGCAGATTCTCGAGTAGTGATTGCGTGTTTCTCTCACCGCTTAAAAAAAGAGAGAAAGAACTTTATAGTTGCACCAGTAAAAGTAGTGAAAACGTTTATAAGGCAATGAGCTGTTGAAGAGGTTGGTGGACTGGTGTAAATTGCAGCAGAAGAGGAGAAACAAGAAAATGAAACCTAAAGAAGCAAATCAAGAAAGAAAATTGCCACCCAAATTACCAGATTTAGCTAGGGAGAATCTGATACTGAAAGTGCAGTGATGATGATGATCTATTACAGAGAAGCAGATGTACACATTTTACACAGATATAGTATGTCTATGTCATAGTGTAGTAGCTACCACAGTTCAACCACTGCTAACAATGTATTAGTAGAATGAAGAAGGCTCCATTGTCCCGAGATTCAACCGAGATCAGGGACAGTAAAGAACTCATCGTCGTCTGGGACATCAATTCTCGCCTTCTTGTGAGGCATGTAGAATTTGGCTGACTTGTTCATGCTCGCGTGGCTAGGCTGAGGAGCCACAGACAGCTCGGGGACTTCATGTTCTCCAAACAGACCGATATCATTTAACCATTCCAGCTCACCGAGCTCAAGCTGCTCCTTCTGCAGAAATCGCCACAAGGTAAGCCATTGATATTCAACAAATGCCAGACAAAACATACAGTAGATTCATAGATAGCAACAGAGTGGTTTAACCATTACCTTCTCTGAGGATTCATAGTCAGAAAATCCAAGTAAGTCATCGACGGCCCAAGAAGGCGACGTGATGCCAGACAATTGTTGAGAAGGCGTTTTAACAGTGACCTGCTGTGAGTTTGGTTTTGGTGGCTGTGGCTCCAATTGTGCGTTTGGGGCGTCCTTCTTACAACTGGAACTCAGTGCTACTCGAATCCCAGTGGCTAGAAATCGCTGGTGGTTTGCAGCGAGGCTGTTGGCAGAATGAATTGGCTCATCGCATTCCTTGCAGAAGAGAGCTCTGTCCTCCACACAGAAAATGAATGCCGCTTTCTCCTGCAAACATGATCAGCCCGAGCCATGGCGTGTTCAGAAAGTGGACTGGGAAGTCCTTTACCATTAAGGTAAATGAAGAAATGTTTCTTTTCATCATTTTCATTCACAGGCACTGGATTAAGAATTTCCCATTGGCACTGTTTCATTTTCAGACAGACAATTGCACATACCACAATAGCCTTTAGGTAAAGATACTCACACAATCCAAAAGCCTAAAGCAAAACAGTGGAAAATGAAGAGGCTTATTGTTATTTTTTTTATAATTATAATTACTGCTGTGAAAATATAGAGCTTCACTACAGTGATCAACTATACAAGAAGTCTGAATTCACAGAGTGATCATATGAATGATTACATGTAAAGCTGCAAACTTTGGAGTTATTCACCAAAGTTTTAGCCATCAGTACTCTAAACATCCTTCAAATCAACTTTTTCCATTGTCAAAAGGGTTTATTTTTTCTTTTTTCTTGTCAAATCACATATGTTCACTGACTGGATATTGTCTCATACAGAACTATTTCATCTATTTAGCAGATGGGCAACCCAACAAAAACTGATTTAACTTCCTATGATCTTTTACTGTTAGAGGCAAAATTTACCCATTAAATAGTGACTTCCATGTCAAGAATATGAAACCTACTTATGTGATTTCTCAGATCTTCAATTATATAAAAACAAAGAACTTTGATTTGAAGCAATAATCTGCAGTTTAAAAAAGGGGAAAAGAAAGAAAACTTACTTGGCAAATATCACAGGGAGGGAGCTTGTTGGAGAGGCACTGAAGAAGAAGCCTCTGGTGCTTGCTTGCAAGCTTGTTTGCAGCATGAACTTCTATGTCACATTGTGTGCACAGTGCTGCCTCATCTGCACAGCAAATCACTGTGGCAGATGCTTTCTCACACACATCACACTGAATCTTCATCCTCTCTCTATAATCTTTGTCCCCAAGAAACCAAAACAAACAAATAATTCAAGAACCCCTGTTGACAGAAAGGACAAACAGATAGGGGGAAAACCCCAAAAAATTTCAGATCAAATGATATGTGAGGAGTGGGAGGAGAATAGAATCTGGAATATGGGAAGGAGGAGTGATTGGCGGAGAAGTGGAGGGGAAGCAGAAGATAAGGATTTGGATTTTGAGTATCGAATGCTAGAACCTGGTTGAGGCAGCACAGCAGATGTGGGGCCCTGGGGGATGTGTGGCTGTGTATTGGCCGCTAAGTTCTTGCGGCCAACATGATTTTGGAGAAATCTATAATAATAATGTCTGGGTGCACATGTCGTTTCGTCATTCGTTTGTGTCGCCCACTTGCCCAGTTGTCCCCCCTTGGCATTTACTAATGAAAATGACAGGGAGAAAGGGAGTTCAGAGGAGCAAGCTGTCTGCCCTGTGTCAGCACTGCCCACTCAAAGATGGAGATGAAACTGGGATATGATCACATAGTCCACACAATTCTGACCGCAATACCAATTCTTGATCTCACAACCCCTTTTAAAAGCTCAATTGGAGGGCATGGAAGTGTTCATATATATTGCACATAAGTTTTAAGATCAAAGAACAATGGACAATCCTTAAGATAGAACTAACATTGGGATATCTCAAAAGATTGAGCCTAGTCTCGAGTGTAGGGTGGGGTAGTTAGCTAGGGATGGTAGGTAACAAGTTACCCGCATGGGCAGCTCAATTGGTTATAGAGGTGAAAAGTTGAAAGAATGATCAGGGATCGAGTCTCACCAGCGGTAGTGTGGGACTACCTCTCAAAGTGAGGAGGGTTCTTGGGATCGTCATGTTGTGCATCCGTTGCATCATGCATGGTGCATCCGAATGCAAAAACGATGTCGTTTTTAGGTCTAACTTTTAAAAAAAAAAATCAGAATTGCATAACTACACATCCATAATTTCATAACTATACATCCAGAATTACATAACTACACATCCATAATCCATAACTATAACTCCAGAATTGCATAACTACACATTCATAACTATACATCCAGAATTGCATAACTATACATCCATAACTTCATAACTATAAATCCAAAATTGCATAACTACACATCCATAACTTCATAACTACACATCCAGAATTGCATAACTATACATCCAGAATTGCATAACTATATATCTAGAATTTCATAACTAAAAATTCAGAATGAATGAACTAAAAAATGAATAACATAATGTTGTTGCTGGGAATCGAAACTGTTTTAAAATAAATAAATAAATAAAAATAGAACGCGCGTTTTGACGCAAAACGACGTCGTTTTTGCATCCGTATGCACCATGCATGGTGCATACGGATGCACAGCATAATTTGCCGGTTCCTTGTGTGCAGTAAGCAAAGGTCTAGCCTCTGTGGTTCATGTTCAGTTGAGTTATCATGATTTACATCCTCCTAAATGCTCTGTCGGGTTGGGGTTCAACCTTTTGGAAGAATGGTATGTAACAAGTTGGGTATTTTTGGGTATCAAACCCTCCTATAATTAAAAGAACAGGTTTGGGTAGTGGCTAATCGAGTTCAAGACAAATTTGACCGAGAAAAAAATAATCTATAGCGGGTTTTTTATATAAATATATAAAGGAGCTAGGTTTATGTGAGAATACCTATGTAATTAAAAAAATAGACTTATCCTGACAAATTAAATGTTGTGATCTTACCATTACCTTTGTGATATACCTGTGTGGGATAGATAAAACACAGCTTATATATAATCTAGATCATGCAGTTGCTTTATTCAATTTTTAAAAAAATTAAATCCATCCATAAAACAAGGTCCACAGGATCAACATAAATAAAAGGTTTAGATAAATCCATACTTTTTACAAATGTGAGTGTACGTTCTCATTTGAATTCTATATATAATGAATTTTTGGAATTTTTGGAAGAGTTTAAGTATTCGCGTGTAGTATACTAGTATTACACGGGTATAGGATGGATTCAAGTATCATTTTAGCTAGCAAATTTTGACAGATTTGATCAAATAATTCTATAGTTAATTGAGTTTGATTATTTAGAAAAATGTTTAGATAAGAGCATCCTCCCAAATGCTATGTCAAGTAAAGATGTGGAGAGTAAATAATATAATATATATGCTTCACTTACTATTCACAAGAGATCAGATCCAACCTTAAATTGCTACCATGATGCCACTTATTAATCGGATCGGCCTCTGGGACAGCATTGGGATATCTTGGAGACACAAGTATATATGTGAGTTGTGTGTGATAAGCACTGCACCTCATTCAAATATGCGGTTGATGAGTTGTATCATATCCTGGGCCATACACAAAAATGTGGCACGCACGTTGTCAAAACTTTGGAGTTTTGGTGTTGACTACAGCCTATGCATCATAAGTCCTAATATAAAGTCCTAACAACATTGTTTAGAATCTGGATAACCTAGACCTAAATAACGTAACCAAGACAATATAATCGATATATCGTGGAACTTGATTTAAAACAACATCGTTTCAAGATAGCATGTTTACCAGTCATTCATATATATATATATATATATATATATATATATATATATATATAGAGGAAGGTTCAAGTGCGGCAGTGCGCTTAGGTGCGGCGGTGCGGTTAAATGTAGGCCATTAGATTAGATAAATTCAACGAATCACATTCATCCAGGCTTTTCCGATATTTTCGCGCACGTTCTCACACTACGCGAACTGCAAGGTTAAAGTCGTCATTGGGCACCTGAATAGATCAAATCATAGTGTTGTGTGTTTTATGTTCGTTATTGGTGCATTATTAACCTTACTGTGGTGTATTTGAGGATTCGTGTTGGTGCCAAGTTTAGGTGCGCCCGCGCCTTCCCATGCGGTCAGTGCGGGTGCACTAATAGTTATACAAATATACACCATCCATGTTAGAAAATGCACACCAAAAAAACATGTCACAAATTAGATATGCATCACCAGAACGCACCATTAGGTATGAATAAAAGCACCACACAGTGTTCAGAAATACATCATTGGGGTGGTGAGTTATATGGTGTATTTTTTGAGTGTGTTGTGTGTTTTTTGGTGTATTTGTGCATTTCATTGTGGTGCTTTTTCCTAACACTATTGGTGTCTTTTGTTAACACTGTTGGTGTATTCTGACAAGCGATCGATATAAATGACCACTACAATTACCATAACACCCCCCACTTATCAGGACGCGCTTAAATCTTTAAATCTTCAGAAATTAGCCGCTGCCGTTAGATTAAGCAAAATGGACGATGCTGATATAGCTGCACCGCCGCACCTAAAGCCACTGCCGCATTTGAGCGCTAATCTATATATATATATATATATATCGGTCCATTATTTCAGTGTAAGGTTCATAGGTCATTTATGCAAATACAGGATTCGTACTTAAATGTAGGTAAGCTAACCCCGGGTGGGGTGAGCTTGCCGGCCCTGTTGCTCTTGTTGCTTGACCGGACGGATGGGAAAATAGCCCTCGGCGCTTGAGAGGACGAGCGAGCCCTCGGCAACTGAGAGGAGTAGTGGCAGTAAAAACTATTACTAACTAAACTAAGGAAACTCCTTTATTAGCCTTCGAGGTAAGCTTACTCCGGGTGGAGGGAGCTTACCGGGTCTGTCCGAAGGGAACTAGAAATGGAATAAGTCCTAAAAGTAGTAGCAGTCTTAAGAGTTGAATTCCTTTCTTTACCGTGACTAGGGATTGTATTTAATAGACCGAAGGGATTACAACTTAAATGTAGGAAAGCAGACCCCCTGGGGTCTGCTTCCCTACATTTATGCTAATGCTAATACAGGATTCCAATAAAGAGAGCGGGAAGATCCCCCGAGGGGAAAGCGAAGCAAGGGGGAAACGATTAAGGCTTCCGTAGGAAGTCCATATTGAACTCCTTAACCTTAATAAGGCTTCTTAGTATTGATTGATGTATCCCTTGCCCCGCAATTCCGTTTAGGAATTGAGTAAGGGGCAGACCGCCTTGCCTTACTTTTATTGACTTTATATTGACTTTAGCTACCCAAATTCAAGTATGTTAACCTAACCAACCTCCTTATCGTCGGTTTACGACCATTTTTATTTAAGGTTTATAGAACCCCTTAGTTGTCTTTAAATACCCCTTTCAGGGCTTTTTTAAAGTCTTAATAAGGCTTTACTTATTAAAATGCACGATGAACCATCGTAGGGTTAAGGAGCTCCCCCTCCATAGGAGCCAGCTTAGCACACACAAGTCCGCAGGAACGAGGGTTGCCTTTCGCTCTGTCCACCTCCGGTATACCTTTACTATAGTTATGATGCACATATAAGTTTTAAGATCGAAGAGCAATTCATCACAATCCTTATAGGATATGATGGAGATAGATATCTCAAAAGATTGCGCCATAGTCTCGAATGTAGTGGGATGGTAACATAAGTTGGGTATTTTGCGGCTCAACCCTTCCAAACCTGTTCTATTAACCTGGCCTAATAGAACATGTTTGGGTAGTGATTAATCTCTTTCTGAACATGTTTGATAGAAAAAAAAAAATTAAAGAATATTCGTCACGACTTTGGCTATGTATATATAAGCACTAAAGAAAAGTGAGCTATAAATTTTACCTTCTCACTCAAGGTAAGGGATAATTCGATCTTTCCATAAAGTCGATCTCTTTTAATTCATCTCTCATTTGCATCAACGCGTATAGTATTTGTACCTGGCCTTCTTGGACAACTCTTGTCTTCTCTAAAGCTTTTTTCGCTTCCTAATTGAAAACAATGCCCTATTTGCGCTTGCTTCCATGCACTTCCATCCTCAACTTCCTTACTTTTTCTTTTTTTTTTTTTTTTTTTTTTTTTGTATATTAAAGATTCATTTATAGGTATATACTACCTAAAATAAACATTCAGTATGGTATACTTAATTTGTAGTTTGGATAAAATTGGATTATTGTCGTATATATTATATTGTTTTGATGGATTTAGCTAGTTGCATTGTGTTGTCTCAAAACCATTCCCTTTATTTAAATTTTCTAGGCTGCAAGTTAGGATTATATTATTGGCACATAAATGTAGAATTGAATCTTTAATTGCAAAATCAAGAAACACATGCATCGCAAGTACTATAATAATAGCTAGCTAGCACTCACGTATACACAAATATGGAGTAGTT